GCTTTATCTCTGGCAGTACGTTCGGAACCTTGATTCTTGATCTTCTTCTGAAATGGCTGTTGTGTATTCCTGTTTTCTTCTTCTCGTCTACTTCTATATAAGTCCGCTCGTAAAACTCTTCGACGGACCTGGTTGATTAAACTCGTCTCGACGTGATATTATTTCTTTTTGCGCTTGTTTTTTAATTTATGAATTTCGCATTTCCCATTCGTTTAGCGTTCTACACGTAGAGACTTTTAGGCTGCTTGATTTTATCCTCTCTATAGTGGCGTTAATATAAATCGGGTATTAAATTTTCCTTAAATCGCTCCTAATTGCTTTCGAAACAGTTTTGTTCATATTTTTCGTAAAAGTGTTTGGCTATCTACTTTCTTATCGCTGATCGTCATTTGTCTTCTTTTGATCCCAAGAGCGTTTCAGTATATGGACTTATTTTACTATCTGATTTTCTTTAGGACAGTGCACGTCGGTGCCTTTCCTTGGTAAGGCGTTTATGATGCAGTTTTTATTCAAGTCGTTAATTATCGTTTAGCGTAGGTTTCCTGCAATAGAAGCTTATTATTGATAGTGTGTCTGATATTGGGTGATAATCTAATGGGGGTGTCACAGATACCGTGAACGAAATTTATATTTTAAATCATTATAGTCCCTTCTCTTTTTATATTGATTTGAACTTTCGCTCTGTATCATCGGCATGTGGTCTGCCTGGTTTGTGAGTGAAACTTGTTTGAGTACTGAGTTACCATCCTTAATTATTTGTTTTTGAGTCACTTATGATAGTAGTCCGATTTTCGGTTTTCCTTGTTTCTACCGTTTGGACTTCCTCAAGTCCAATCTTCTGTGCATCTTTTTGTGAAAGAAGCTGTTCCATGTTGAATAAGTTTAGTCTGGAGTAAGGAATCCTAGTGAGCTTTTCTTCCTCGATGCATTTTCCTGTCCTTGGGGAACTACGAAGTTTGTGCCTAAAGATGTTTCTAAGATCTGCTTCTTTTTACCAGGCCTATTTTTGTGCGTTGAAAGCGACCACATAAAATTGTGAATTGAGTACGAGGAATCATCAAGCGCAGTGGGATACATCGCAGTAGAAACTGTTCAAGATTCTTTCCGTCTGTAATGGTCTTGGTATGTTGGAGACGTATCTCTTGGAAGTAATTTTGAGTTGATACCTTCCTGATTCAGCATTCAGAATTAAGATATGCCACTCTGAGATGAATATACTTTTGATGTGTATTACTCTGTTCGCTTTGTGCGTTTATTTTTATATATTGGACCAGAGAAAACCGAGTGCCCTTCCAACTGATGTAAGGTAGTTTCCAGGACCAATCTGATAGAAATATATGCCTCTGAGTTTGAGTTGTTTTCAATAGTTTCACCTCTCAATCTATTCTCTAGACTCCGCTAATACCCTTTGACATCCCCATTTCTTTTATTCTATATGCAGTTTTCCATTTCAGTGAATCTTTCCTTGGGGGGGGGGGGGGGGGGGGGGGGGGGGGGGGGGGGGGGGGGGGGGTTGTCTTCGTGTTCGGACAGTAGACTGCTGGCATTGGTATGTATCTAACCGTAGAACAGAGTTCGGGTTTTTGTGGGTTCCCGTGATAGTCAGTTTATATGTTGTCCCCGAATCCCCGAATCCTTGGGACAGACTGATATAATTCAGTGTGAGATTTCTGGACGCCATCCTACTCTCACCTGGAGTTAGATCTGTTTATTTGTTATTAAAACGTGACAGCAGCGTTTTAAGGGTATAGTGGCATTAAAGAAGAGGAACAGAACAGAATGGGGAAAAATCCTAGAACAAGCCAGGACCCAGAAAGGGTTGTCGAGCTACTGATGATGATGATGAAACGAGGTTCGCAGTATGTTTTATTCCATGCTGGTTTTTAAGGAGGTTTCCTTCCTGGCATACAAAGTAAGTTTATGGCAAAGAAAAATTTATGGAGACTATCACTATGAAATGGATGCTGAATATTTTGAGTCATGGTTTAAAGATATGTTAATACCAAATTTACCAAATAATGGTCGCAGGAATATCATACTATGAAAAGAGAGTACCTAACAATTTCTGGTTTAAAGCTGCAATCATGATTTGCTAGTGAAAAGAGACATTTTTTTCAAAAAAATCAGAGCTATTAGAAGCAGTGCATGTTTTTAAAGATCAATACCACAAGTTAAATCTCAATGAATATGTCGCACAACATAATGTTCCTATTTTAAGGCTTCCTCCATATCATTGTGAATTAAATCCTATAGAAATGGTGTTGAACCAAGTTAAGAGACATGTCGCCACCCATAATACCACTTCTAAAGACGAAGAGGTGCCTAAGTTAATCAATGACAGTTTTATACAGGTAACAAGGCAAAATTGGCGCAATTATGTTACTCATATCATTGAGAAAACGGAAACAGATGTGGACTATGGACAACCTGCAAGAAGACAGGCCAATTGATTATACATGCAAACACAGATGAGAGTAGAGAAAGTAGGAGGTCAACATTAGTATGATTGAATATCTGTGAGCAGCCTCGATTATTCTATAACCAATGAAATACATTTATCAGTCCAATTAGAGTAAGAGCTTTTCGGATATTGAGCAGGGTGCACAAAGATCAAGTATTATTGGGTAATTTTTCTCTTGGAAAGCATTTTGATAGCTTTGCACTTTTCAAATGTCAATAACTAAAAAACAATTGATCTTAGATGTGGGATATGATACATGAAATCCATTATAAAATATATCAATATTTTACTGTTTTTATTTCCTTAATCGATAGATGCAGTTTCTGAAGGTCCCACCCTGTATATTGATCAAAAAATGTAATTTAAAATATATTCGTTAGTTTAATAAAGTATACAATTTTAAAATAAAATTTTCGCTAAAAATTTAAGTCTTTTTCTTAAAATTTATGCCTTTTATTTTACTACTTGAAGACAATTATTTGTAATTATGTATTTTGTTTCATAGTTCGACATGTTTCCTGAAGAGGGTTTTGGATACTTGGATCCGCAACAAAACAAAACTGGCTGATTTATAAACGCAGATAGCAAAACTTAAGTGGAAGTTCGCTAGACATACCATAAGACAAAAAGATGACAGATGGAATAAGATGATTATACACTGGAGACCATATAGTTACAAACAAAAAAGAGGAAGCCACAATGAGAGTAGATGACTTGAGAAAATGCAGGCCGAGTGGAAAAACACCTACAATAGAGAGACTGGAAGAAGAAAGGGGCCTATGTCAAAAATGACAGCAAGGCTATGATAGATAGATATGTATTTTATATTAAATATCTTATGTATCTCTGTTTTATTCCGATTTGCATTATAAATTAAAATCAAAAAAGGTAGTTTTACTCATAATAGGGACACACTAGGAAAGATCTTTGTATGATTCTGTATGTGACCACTACTTAAACCTGTTTGGGCTGCCAGGTACATGGCCTGAAATTTGCGCATCTAACCGGCTACACTCTCAGTGTGAATTTCACCATAGATCTAAGACTAGAATTCTATAATTCTAGACAAATTATTTAAACAAATTAAAATTTGTTATTCAGGACATTTTGAAGATTTTAGAAAACAGAAAAATATTTTAAATATTAATATTGCCTTTAAAATGTGATCAAAGGAAAATCAAGAGTGAAAAAGCAATGTCGAACAGAAGATCAGTGTTGAAATATTGATATCAACTAACAAAATTTAAATATTAGGGCTATATGTCATTTACAGTTGAGACAGAAACGCCAAAACATATAATGGGGCAAACACCTGTAGGGAGAAGGTCAAAGGAAAACCCAAACTTAGATACATCGGAACAAGTGGAACAAGATCTGAAACAATTAAGATTACCAACTGGAAAAACAAAGCAAGGAACAGAACAGAATGGCAGAAAAACCTAGAACAAGCCAGGACACAGAAAGGGTTGTCGAGCTAATGATGATGATGATGATAATGATATCATTTACAGTAAGTTAAGGTTGGTATAATAAGTGTCAATTCTATTTACTTTTGGAACAAAATAAAAATTGGTAAAATGTAAACTATCAATTGTATTTACTTTTGGAACACAATAAAGTCAGTCTTAACTGTATACTCTACTGGTTTGTTTCATTTAAAAGTTTTAACAATCAGCAAATAAGATAAATTCTATTCTAGATAAACATAAATATGCTTTATCCTTACAGGATATTTTTAATCAACAAACTAATATAATGAGAGGGGATTAAACACATCTACAAGACTCTTACACAGAAATCAAAAGAGTGATCTAGAAGAAATATTAATTTCATAAATCTACAGTTTACCATCACTTAATAACTGATACCAAACATCATGCAAATATTTACTGTTTGCCAAATGATATTAAGAATAAACTTTATCTAAATCCTAAGTACAAGATAATAAGCATTGTATAATAATGGTAAAGAATAGCTATCTTTGTCAATAAATGTGGATCCATATGGAAAACACATCCATATCACTTTATACCAAACATACTTCAACACTATCTTTGTTGTGAAGAAATTGTTAAATTGTCAAATACTAATAAAAAATTGGCAAAAATTCATGTTTTATAATCAAAATAAATTTACACAATGATTTTATTAAGAATGTAATAACAGGTCATACTAATTGTTTAAATAGAAAAATGAACAAGTTTATAATTCCCGTTAACATATAAACTTGAATATATTTAAATAGTTTTAGTCAATACCACCATCAACTTCAATGTTTTTAGAATGACCCTATTACATTAAAATTACAATGTCAACTTACAGTCTGTTGTCCATTATTATCGGGCGGAGTTGGTTCCATTTTGTTTAAAATAAACAGTTTTTGTTCTGATGCACAAACTATTAATTAATTTCCAGAAAGTATTATTAATTTCCGAATACCATTTCAAAATGTATATTCAACAAAAATTGTCAATAAAGACAAAACGTTTGACACTTCTTTAACCTGCGAACGTCAGTGAACTGTCATTTGTTGAAACTGCAACAGTGGCATTTGACATTTTTTATCTTTTTGAAAATTTTGACCAATAGCAATTGCTCATAGTGAATATATTGATTTTTTTAGTATAATTTAAATCAATAAAGAAACTGTTTATTAAAATAGTAATTTAATAAAGTCTACTGTTTAAATCGCTTTTTTCTATATTTTCATAGATTGCGTAGAAAGTTTTAATATAAAAAAATTTATTATATGAAATTTTTTTATAGGCAACCAGTTATCTGTAAAATAAAATTATGAAAAATATTTGCTTTTGATTCAACAATAGTTAAGTTAAATGCCGTTAAGTCATTTTTATCAAAATAGAAACTCCGTTAAGTTGTAAAACTGAGATCAATAACTATTTCATTGTTCTATGCACAGATCCAATGTAACGGAAAGTTTTACGACTAAATTTAATTTTTCCCTAGGTAATAAATTTAATTTAAACTTATTAAAATAGATCTCTTGTTGGTTGTCTAAACTTGGGCTACTAAATACTTTTTGGGAAATTATACATATAAATTGTTAACGTCTATTTTTAAATATAAACATTAAAATTCAAACAAAGTTACCAAAAATTAGACATAAATAAAATAATATGTTATTTATTTACGGGCAGTATATTTCTCGGGTCCAACAAATTGATATTTTGCCAAACTGAAAATATCGAACTGTGCTTAATCGATAGTTGTTTGAAAGTTCTTATTCACTCGATTGCAGTTAGTTATATGGTTTCTCCGCCAGAGTCGCTAGTCGTTCAAAACAATTTTCATTTTGTAAAGCAACAGTTGACAGTCAACTTTATCGGTGGATGTATGTGTTTGTGATGTTAGCGGTTTCGGTCGTCTTTTCAACATTATTTTAACGTGTTTTAAATTAGTTTTAACCATTTATTTAATTACATTTTAATTCGTATTGTTTCTCTCGTTACGTTGTGTCAATTTTATCTTTATCCCTTAAGATTGCAGACTGTTAAAAACTTGTTTTGTGTCTGAAGGATATCGTGTGGAATAATTTTCAAAGGTATGTTGAGCTGCATTGTATCTTGATCTACTTAATGACTGAAAATAGAACATATGCAATTAAAGACGTTTTCTGTGTTCTTTTTGGTAAAATTTTGTTCGTTTATACGATAGTAAACTTTGAATATGCACTCATTTAAAAGTAACTAACCTAGGATCAGATTTTGTTTGTTCAGTTGATCCAACTGTGCATTCAGAATAATAAATTTAATTGTTATAACTGAACGTATATTTGTTGTTTAATTAATTTTTATTTTTGTTTAAAAAGTGGAATTTTTGTTGAACATTTTCCAAGATTGCTAAAAATACCAAATAATGTCGACAAAGTAAACAAACAAAAATGTATTTACTTTTTATTTATTGTTTACATACTAGACCAGGTAGAAGGATTTTATCGGGTATTATTCATGATAATCCCTGATATTATACAATATCGTTTCCTCTTTTCAATTAATTGTTTATCTGGGATAATGTGTTTCTAAGTATTGTTTAAAAGGTCAGGTATTTAGCCAAAGCCAATGTCATTCTTGGGTCTTTTCCATCTTTCAAAAACTTTTAGTTGAATTTTAATTTAATATATTATGGTCTTAATTATTTGTTGATTTAGTGATAATTTAAAGGCGATAATTGTTGTTTATTATTACCTACTAACGTAATGTACTGATTATTCAATATATCATGGGTGAAGAAGGTTCTTAGTGAATTTTTTCTAATACTTTGGTCAACTGTAGGTCCATCTGGCCTCTCCAATAATTTTGTTGTTGTTCCATTGTTTTTTATAATGAGAGTCCCATTCTACTATCTTAAAATCAAATTCAGACTGTACCAAACTTCCCAAGAATTATTTTTATTTTCGTATTCCTTTTGTTTAAGTACATCAAAGATAAAAGGGGACTTAAAAACATACAAAATACAATTACAAAACAAAATCAAAAAATACAAAATTTTAGACTATAATCGGTTCACAATTTGTCGATAGCTCACTACACGTTTAATCCTAATTAGAGAACTTAAATACATAGAGGATAGGTAATACGATATAATAGTAAAAATCAACATGAAACTGACGGTTTAAGATGTTTTCGACTAATCCACCTCGTATCTGAAGGAATACAATACAGCGGTCAACCTTATAATCCGATTACGAAGGTATTTTGGTTACAGATGACCGACCAGTGTCGTAGAGTATATGATTGAAACATTTATTTGAACTAAATAAATATATTTTTTAAATTGTATTTTTGTTTTAATAAAACTTCTTTATTTTATTCAAAAATAAAAAGTTTCTTGCCATTTGTCAAAGATACCAGTGGCGGATCGTGGCTTGAGAGACAAGGTCGGCAAGGTATTTTTTTGTCTCCTCAGATAGGTATACCGTCTAATAAAGACTTCAATCATCATAGGAGATTTTTTGTTTTCTTGTTTTTTGTTTTTTTTTTGTTTTTTCCTATAAATTTAGAACCTAAACATGTTTATAAATTAACTCGAGTCTACGTTGTTTGGAAGTAGCAAAATGGGTAATAACGTCATCGTAAAATTTATTAGTTTTGGAGAGATTTTAAAAGTTTTTTTTCTATTGACATTTGAGACAAGCTTGACATTCTCTCTTGTTTCATGGTATACAATACGTTTTGATTCTTTTGAGGCAAGAGAAATCTCGTTCATTTGAGGCAGACGTTGGTGGTAATGAGAGAATTAATGACAATGATTTATTAATATCGGTAACAGTTTGTTGTAATGAATTGCAGTATATAAAATTATACATATCTTGTAACTTATCCCATCTTCCGCAAATATTTGGATCAGCATATAAAACTTTTAATTCATTTTTTAATTTTATTTTATTAAAGAATGATGGATAATTTTTAATTAACCTGTCTAATAAATATCTTGGAAATTCCTTGGCGTAACTTTAAATTTTTGAATCGTCAAAGAGGTCAAAAATTTGCAAATCTTCAAAATTCGAAAAACGAGTATCTATTTGCATAATAATAGTATCCAAAATTTCAAAATATACTCGTTTTTCGAGATCTGTTTCTGTGTCATGTCTTTGTCTTTTTTTTTTGGGGTTCGGAAATATCAAGCGAATCCAAAACGTCACTGCGTTTATACTGGAAATTACTAACATTACGAAAATCTTTGAGATTTTGCACCAGTCTTGTTATTCTATTTTTGGAATGAATAATGTCAGTTAACTGATTTTGAACAACATTGAATATCAAATCTGTTTGCGTAAACACTTTCTTAAAAATATTTAAAAGTATGTTAAAAGAGTAATCATTTAATAAAGTTTTCAAACCGATTGCTTCACGGATCGAGATATCATCACTTTCAAAATCGTCACATTCAATAATAAAATCAAAAACTTCCAAAAGCTGTTCACGAAAATCTGCTAAAGTGAAAACTAACCGAGATTTAAAATTCCATCGCGTCTGACAAACTTTTGGCATTATTTTCGAAACAAGCCGTTCTAAAACATTAGTTCGTTTAGGCGAGCTTGAGAAAAATGAAGCAAATCCGCCTAAACTGGCAAAAAAAAGAATGCATTCTTTAATTTTTTTACATGTATTCTGCAAAACTAAATTCATTCTATGAGCATGACAGTGAGTAAATAAAGCTTGCGGTGCAATAATTTTAACTTTTGCCTGGAGACCATTTACTTCACCAGACATCACGGCAACGCCGTCATAAGTTTGCCCTACCAATTTATTTTTGATATCAAAAAATATTAATCTGTCCTTTACAACACCAAAAATATATTCTGCCTTATGGCTTTTACTCACGTCTGTAAAACCCAAAAACCTCTCATAGATATTACCACGTAACGCGTATCGAACAACAATTGATAATTGTGAATGACATGATATGTCGGTAGTTTCATCTACTTCTAGTGAAAAGCAAATGGTTTCCTGAATCTCAGATTCAATAAGTTACTCAAAATGTAACTAGTTGATTCAATTAATTCATTCTGGATTGTTTTCGATATAAATACAACGCTAAATGTCTTCGAATCAGAAAGTAAATTAGAAAATTCCAAATCGTATTTCTTAAACATTTTTATTAGTTCTCTATAATTACCTTGATTTAACTAATGCTCCGATTCATCGTGTCTTCTTAAGAATTCTTAAAAATAGATGAAAACCCATTATACAAAATATAATTTACAATATCAGACTTATCAATACTTACAGTTTATCCCATGGCTTGCATTGTTTAGGTTAATTTACCTGAATTTGTTTACACTTTAATTAAAAAAAAAAAACTTCTAATATATCAAAAAACCCTTTAACCTTTATCTATTTACGGCAGACGTAACGTATCACAGTATTACTTTAGAAAATAAAAATAAATCACAAAAAGAAAGGCTAGTTCGTGCACTAAATATCACTTCACTTTACTACTTACGTTCTTATATGAAATAAGATTTCATCCCGCGCTCGCAATGTACAGTTCGCGACCAATCACCAATCCAAATAAAACATCGGCAAATTTAAATTTGCCGTACTTGGTAATGAAGTTCATATGGAAAGAAATGTATATTTGGTTGCTAATCAACTATTATTCCGTTGATTTTTACAAGTAAATGGTAAGGTTGGGATCGGCTTGCCGAAAAAACAAAACGTGCATTTTTAAGAATTCACGGAGGCGGAGTCTCCGATATCGGATCATCAATTTGAAAAGTATCTACGCAGTAATCACTTAACGCTCAGATTGGACGAATTCTTTTAAAAACCATGAATAAAATTTAGTCTTTATTATCTCACAGATATTTTTTTATTTCACAAAAACAAATGACATCAACTGATTACCTGCCACAATTATTTATTGAAATACTGATTAAATTAAATATTAAAAAATCTATAATATCTATAAAGGTGTGGGTCGGCACTGCCGACCCTGACCGGCCGCCACTGAAAGATACATATATTTAATTAAGGGAAAGGCG